GGAGAAGGCGCTGCGTCCCGGCTGAGGGATGGCGGGGGGCTAAAGCCTTCCCCACCGTCAGCGGGGTCGCGTTCAGCCGCGGCCTGGTGCTGGTGCCGCCTTCCTGGGCGAATACAGAGCAGAGGGACTGTTTTGCGTGTTGGGTTTTGTACACGAAAGAGGCCTGCAGCCCTCATTGTCTGTTTTGAGCTTCTCCAGGAGAGAAGCAATTAGGAGTAGGGTGTCGGTCAGTGAGGAAGAAAAGACAATGCAAAACTAGAGGTACGCAAGTCTTGGATGATTCTGTCTCTGTCACTGGTTGTAAATGGAGCCCTGTGGAAGCGTGTAAGAACAGAGAAGGTACAATTATTTTCACCTAATAATATTTTTCTCCTTTCCAGGTATGTTTAGCTATAGGAGCTTCATGAGTTGCATGTCACTTGTGTGCATTTAGGACCCCTCAAAGTATTCCTCTTCCTTGTACAGTCCCCCCTAGAAACCACATCTAGGTATCAAAATGTTCTTTGGCAACAAGCTACACAGGGTTGCCCTGTTGCATAGAGAATCAATTCCTGTTTTTCATTTTGTACCTCACTCCCTAGTTTTGTTTGGTGCCCTGTAAGTCCTTCTACAGGAATAGTCTATTTGGCCTTTCTGTGTTCTTCTTCATTTTGTATATTTTTGTTCTTTTTCCCCTAAATAATTTACTTTACAGACTGACAAAGTCTTCATCTATAAGGTCACTCTTTGTGCCTTTGATCATCCTTGTTACTCTTTTGCAGGCTTTATTTAAGATGTATCAGAGTCCTGCACTTATAAAGTGGCATAATTATGCAGTTTATTTTCTGTTTCTTAGAAATTTTTAATTTTTTTGATCCTTTTTTGCTACTCAGTATTGAGCTGATGTTCTCTAAGAACTCTACCACACTCTTAAGATTTTCCTTGAGAAATGAGGCTTATTTCTCACCCTGACTGATTTTTTTTTTTATTATTTGCTTATGTAAATGTCTAGTTTAACAGTTAGACCTGTGTGGATAATTCCGTGTTCAGCATCAGGAAGGTTCATCAGCACAGTTTAATTGCTGTATGTGGTTTCTTAGTTTTAGAGTAAAATTCACTGGGACAGAAAGAGTGGTCATAACTAGAGTGGTTTGGAACTTTAAGCTTAGTTTTTCTGCATCTCAGATTGGTGCTCAAAATTTAGATAAATGGTAGGATCTAAGTCTTGTGCTTTTCGGTGTTTCAGTTACTTTCAACCATTTTTTCTTCTAATGAGTCTGTATGAGTCCTTTTTGTTTCAGATGAATGAGAGACAGATTCTCTTCTAAAATGATGTTCTTGTTATTATCAGTGGCTGTGCAAATAGTGAATATACTGTGGTACGGAGATAGCAAATACTTGCCAAACTGGATGAGAAAATTGATGGCATTGTATATCAACTGAAATTCAAAGTCCATTTTAGGATATGATTTTTAAGGAGAAACTTTTAAGGGCTATATGTGGTATTATTATTGTCTTGCTTTTGACATGTTTAACATATAGCTATTTTTTTAAAGTTCTATATTGATTGCATGGAAGCTTGCCTTGTCTGTTTCCATAATTTAAGGATTTTCCTTTTTGAAAAGAAAAAAATAAACATATTTCATACAACACAGTCCTGTTAAATTCACTTTTCTTTTTGCAGCAGATGGAATGCAAGGAAAACCAGAAAAGATAAGATCTTCTCTGAAGAATGTGAAAAAAGACACAGAAAAAACAGAGAAACTTAAATACAAGCCACTCACTGGGAAGGTGTTTTACCTCGATATTCCATCAAATGTGATTTCTGAAAAAGTAGGAAAGGACCTCAAAGAGCTAGGAGGGGTAAGTTAATGTGCAAGGGACCTCTATGAAACTAAAAGAAAATCTGCACATATGGCATGCCTTTTCCATGTTCTTTGTGACTGCATTTTGATGTTATTTGTAGTTTATATGTGACAGGATCTTATTTTTTTTGTTTGTTGTAATGTTTAATACGAACAATTAGCTTATCAACAAATTATTTTGTGGATTTTTTGCTAGAAGCTGCTTTGCTAATTGTAACAAAAGTGTGTTTTAAAGGTTTGTTTTCAGTTGATTATTCATTTGCTTAAAATTTTATCCAAATTTAATAAGTTTTATTGTTTGAGGTAATTTTTTTTTTCTGCTGCTTCTGACTATGTTGACATGTTTACATGTTACAACTAAAGTTATTCAGCTGAACCTGAAAGGGATCAGAGGAAGTGTTTTGCATATGCTTACTAAAAGTCAGTACCTTCAGTAAGTACTTTGTGCACAGAGTATGTTAATGAGTATTTTTAAATACTCTTACTTAAATTTTATAAGCATCTTAATATTCCCCCCCCCCCAATTCTCTCTATCCTATGGAAGAAACACTTTGATACAAGCAAGTACCAGGATATCATAGTAACAAAGAAGCAATGTAATTGCTTGGTCCACTTTAAAGTTGAATATGTTGAATTAGTGTAGAGGACTCTTTACAGTTAAATACCCTTTAACCACAGAAGCAAAAGGGATCTGCTTAAATTGCTAGCTATTCTGAACGTTGCTTTGGCAGTACTTCTTTGACGTCAGAGGAGCGCTGAGCAGTTTTATGAAGTTGACTCTTGTAAATCAAGATACTGTCTGAAATTATAGTAGAGGCAAGGAATAGCAGTAATGGTTTCAAGTTAAATACATCTCTTTACATTTAGCATTAAATGAGTGCATACTATCTTTTGTCTTTCTCTCTAAAACTGAATTTTAGGAATTCATGTTTGAAAGGTAAGATTGCAAATCAAAGACTGAAAAGGAAGTTTTTCTGTTGCATTCTGAGGAGTGTATGCCTAAATCTGAAGTGCCCAATGCCCTCAAGTTCAACTACCACATGTGATTCTTTGTTACTTGTGTGGAGTGCGCTCAAAGATGCCTTTTTGTATGTCCCATTTCTATAAAAAGTACAAAGAACAGAATTGGAAGGCACAGTTTGAAGCTTGCTGCCTGTGCAATTTGTGCTTTCCATACTGATGAGTGGAGAAGACAAAACATTTTAAGCTATGTAAATTGGCGAGAAATAATAAGGCAAATAGATTTGATAATCACGACAGTTGGTAATGGAAGACTGAAGGAGCAAAATGGAAGAGAATAGGCATAGGATAACCACCTATTTTGTCTTGCTGAGTATGAAAATACTATGAATCTACTAAAGTCTTCTATATTTTTTTGAGAAGTGTTATAAATACTGTAGGTGTGAAACATGGTAACTATCCTGAAATTTTATTCTTTTCTGCTGGTTCTAAACTCAAATGAATTTGTAGCTTCTTGCAAGCTGTAAATTATGTTTGCATATACATGCCTTTAAGTTTAGCTGAACACTTCTATGTAATTTCTGTTATATAAATTTCTATAAACCATGATTTTCCTTCTCAATGCAGTATTTGAATTCTTCTATTTGGAAAGTATTAAGCTAGACAGTTCAAAGAATGATAATAATCAAAACAAAGCTCTCTTGATAGAGATTTCAAAATTAAGAAATTAAAATTGAAATTTGTGACTGGTAAGATGCTACTACAGCTCAGTTATAATTGTCATCCAGATCTTTAGAAAATACCGCCTCATTAATTCAATGTTTCTGAACTTAATTATTCTAGAAGTTTTGTCACTTTTCTTTATACAATGTAAAATTGAGTTACTGATTTATTGTCCTGAAATAATTACTTGCTTTATATCTTTATATTTAGAGAGTGGAGAGTTTTCTTAGTAAAGATATCAGCTATCTGGTGTCTAATAAAAAGGAAGCAAAATTTGCACCAACTCTTGGTCAGATTTCTCCTGTTCCTAGCCCAGAATCTGCACGTAATGGAGGAAATAGTTCACTTCATCCTAGCAACCAAAAAGATCGACATGATGGAAGTTCATTTAAGATAGTAGATACAGTAAGTTTCTTGGTAATAATACTGCAAATTGGGTACAACCCATGGGATATGCTCTTACAGTTTTTCTCCTATTTTCTTTCTTAAAGATGGCAACAGTTCCTTGGGTGAATAAGGTTGGGGTTTTTTCGGGTTTTTTTTACAGGTCAAACATACTTTTAAACTAGTTAGGTTTAACAAGTTAGTCTGACCTGACTCAAACTAATTAAGCAAAGTTTCAAAAACTAATTCAAAAAAGGAGCCTTTTCTACAAATTAGCAGACTACACTACACTAAAATCTGTTCTAATATAGTATGTCTGACTTATAACATTGACATTGTTATGTTTGACAGCTGGGTCAGTATGGATAGGCTTGCAATGGCATCCAGTGGTTTCTGTCACTTTAGCAACACAGCCTATTAATATCTGGCTGCTGTCATGTTGTTAATGCAGATATCTACAGGAGCACTCTGATAGTAGTTCAGGGAAATAATAAAAATCGAACATTATGAATATTAAGTTTTTCTGAGCTCTTAGGGTCACGTTAATTGCAACAGTATCTGAATTTGTGCAGGTTTACATGGAGTTTCTTACATGGGCAAGTCTTGTGCCTGTTCAAAATACCTTTGGAAACAATTAGCTGTACTATATATGTGTTACTTAGAAACATGACATTGAGCAAGTCTGTGGGCTGGTCTTTGCATTGCATAGGTGAGATCACCTCATTTTTCAAATAACCTGGATAGGTAAAGGTATGCTTATTATGAACAAACAGCATACAGTACAAACAGAAATGCACTAGTTATAGAAAAGATGGGGATAAAATGGAGGCTATGATTATATTCATGGCTGTTAGCTTAATTTGGCACAAGTCCAGCTTATGATACCTAATTTTTTGGCATGTGCCACTGGCTGCTTATTCCCACCATCTTTGTTGTTCCAGCACTAACATTGCTTCGGCCGTGTGGTGACCTGCTTTGGCTGAAAATAACTACTTGTTTTTTGTTGGGTTTTCCCTCCTCCTCCTCCTTCCCCCCACCCTGTATCAACCCTAACCTTATGGGGAAGATGTGAATTAATGAAAACTAGCAGTACAGTAAAAAAAAAAGGAGACTATCATAGCTAAAATTCTTATTTGTTAACAATAATGTAAATTGTCTTACATTTTGTTTTTTTGAAATGAGTTCTAACTTGCTACAAATGTGTTTCTGTTTTAATATAGGTACGTTTGAGCAGAGGAAAATCCTTAGTTGAAAAAGCAATCAAAGAACAGGTAAGCCAAGTAATCAATAAATTCATGCTTGAGAAACTTGGGTTTTCCTCTTCTAGAAAACAAGCAGTAGTAAGTGGTAAAACTGTCAGGTCATGCTTTCTGGATACTTCTTCAAGAATTGAAAGTCTGTGGAGTCTTATGACCAGAATTATAATTTATCAGGATTGCTAATATAGCTAGCATTTGAGAGGTGCTCGTGAAGTTAATGTATGAATTCACTGTCTTCAAATTTTAGTCACTATAAAATGTGGCAGTAGAGAACAGTTCTGGCTTTATGAAATGTTAAATATAATCTTTTGATAGTGAAGCGCTGTGACACAGAGATACAACAGTCAGTGGAGGACAGCCATAGTCTTCTGGCAAGAAGCAAATCATCTGCACTTTGATCTCAGCTTTCATATTACATATTGTAATATATTTCTAATTATTTTACATAATCTACAATATATTGCTTAAAATTATTAATATAATTTATTGTTTGCAGGACTTAATCCCCTCTGGTAGTATACTGTCCAATGCTTTGAGTTGGGGAGTGAAGATACTTCATATTGATGGTAAATATTTTTTGTTTGATGAAGCCTATGTTGCACTTGTACATTTATTCTGTTGATGAAGTCTAAATATTAAAAATGACAAATTACTTCATACAAAAATAAACTCAGCTGAGTATAATTCTCCCTCTTTTTGCCAGATGTTAAGAATTACATTGAACAAAAGAAAAAGGAGCTCTACCTATTCAAGAGAGCAGGCAGTTCTTTTAAAGATGTGGTAAGTGGCTCTGCCATTTGTGAAAACGTCATTTGTTCCATTAACTGAGAAAACATAGGTCTACTAAATACTGCCTACTGTGAAGCTTACAGATTTTATTTTAATAAAACCTTGCTCATATTCAATTTTTCACAGACCAGTATGTTTTATGAATTTAAAACCATCTTTGAAAAACAGAAAGTATTAGCTATACATTTCAGCATTATTCAAAAGTAAATTCCATAGTAGCATTGATTAAATAATGTGTAGACCTTTGCTCTTGCAAAGGCTATCTAACAATTGGAAGTACTGAACTGTCTGAAATTTCCATTTTGCCTGCCTCAAAAATAATAAATAATTTAAAAAAAAATGTAGCTTGGTTTTAGTATGATGTAAACTGTGGTTAAGTTGCCTTGTATAGTTTTCCCTATGACACAGTGATTAGAAACCCTTTCCTTTTGATGGACCATTTTGAAGAATCGGTTACATTTCCTGAAGAAGCTGTCTCTAAGGAATCTGTGTCAGTTGCTGAACTCTGCATCTTTTCCGTCCTGGTCTTCTAAAGAACCTGTATAACACATCTTTGAGCTATTCTGCCAATAATGTGTAGTTGGCATGTAAAAATCCCAATTTCTCCGGATTTTAGTGTATGATAGAGTGAGACACTGAAACTGTTTCAGCCGCTTGTGCATTCCGTCTGCAGTTGCTCTGTAATGTAAACATGTAAAATTGTACAATTACCTATTCTAGGCAGGGGTTTGTGGTAAGTAAATGGAAATGTACCATCTAGTGTATGTTATGTTGTTTTGGAATGCAATATGGGCTAATTATTGAGGCCACATGAAATTCTCTGCTAAATCATCAGTGTATCAGTGTTCATAGATAGCAGGGTGGGGTTTTTTTGCAAGTAGTATAATATATGACTTTGTATCTTTACCAGAATCAATTACAGCTAACAGCTGTTGCTTGAATGTAGACTTTACTCATTACTGAAGACGAAATACTCCTTTTAATTTTAATCTTCATTGCTAAAAAAACCCCACCAACAACCAAAAACCAAACAAAAACCAAAAAAAACCCCAACCTGTGTAAATCCATTCAAATGAGAAGAATTGTTTTAACTGGAGAATGTTGCTATTTGCAGTTTTTGGTGGCATTTTACAGCTCGTTGTTTATTAGCATTTATACAGCATTGTAAAAATGTTATCTGTATTTAAGAATCAACTTTCAACCATGGCGACGTATTTTGGGGGAAGAGAGAGAGAAAGTGAACAAATTTACCTGTGTGGGTTTTCTGTTTGATTTTGGTTTTAGGAAAAAGAAATGGAAACATCTCAAGGAGAATGCATTTTTGCGGTATAAAAATAACTATTTCTTTGTGAAGCATGTCACCCTATTTCTAAAGTATTAATGAGCTTAGTTTTCTGCAAAATTTATCATGACTGTCTATGAAGTCAAGATTAACACAGGGAGACTCTTATAACTTAAAATTGGCTACAGCTAAATCTTTAATAAAATGCAGACTAATATTCACAGGGATTTTATGCTTTCTATCTTTTTTTTTCAACAGGGAAAACAAGTTACTGCTCCAAAGTCAAGAAGTAAGTATTTCAATATTTGTAGAGTGTTTTGTTTTGCCTTATGTTCTGAACACTTAAAAATGTACTACAGTTCTCTTCTGGTCAAGTGTGCTGCTGTATTCTAATTTGTATGTCTAAGAAAAGCATGTAGAAGAACTTCATGAAAATCAAGAGTTTGTCAAAACATGTACATAATGAGTTCTAAAATAATGTCTGCTTATTTATTCATTTATTTATTCAGCCACTGGAGTAACTTGCTGAATGAAGAAAAGTTTTGTTCTCTTAATTGCCTTTTCTGCTCCTTGAACAGGTAAATTGAAAAATCCATTTGTCAAGGTGGAAGATAGAAGTCGGTAAGTGTTCTCTTCATGCATTCAATAACATGGTTCTGAAACTGAGTAATTCAGAAACATTTGGTATGCTGTGAGGAAGTGGCCTTCAGATTTCAATTTCCTTCCACTTCCTGACTTTAGGTGCCAGGTATACTGTCATAACAAGATACAGAATTTTCATCTCTGCATGCTCTGGATAGGTAACTTGGGTAGCCACTGAATGAGATTGAGCAGGTAGTAGTATAGTAAGGAATATTTGCAAAAGGTAATGGAAGTGGAAAGTTAACATGTACCTCCAGTTTGTAGACCATGAGAGTGGGTTCATTGGGTTACTTTCTGCCAAGGGCCATATGAATGAAGAGGAAGCTTGGGAGCTTTGAACCTTGGTATCTTTTCCTAGATCCAAATCCTATAGCCCAAAAGGCCAATAAAACTTTGTATGCTAAATTCCAGTCCTGTAGTCCCAACTCAATAATGTTCAGCTCCTGCAGAGACTGTTTAGATGTAAGGAAAGGGAAGTCATTATAGTTAAAGTCATCCCTTGAAATTAGGTTTAATTTCCTGTTCAATCATTTCTTTTTAAAAGGAAAAAAAAGCTATTAATCTGATTTCAATATCCACAGTACCATGAAATCTGATATTTTTGGCCTTTAAAATTTTCACATCTTTCTGGTACTGTAATTGATCAGACCTGGTTGTGTAAGGAAATACCAGTTTGCCAGAAGTTGAGAGAACAATGAATTATAAAAAAGTGCAGTTCTGCATAGCATGTTTTGCACTTTTATATTCTTAACTAACTTCTGCTTTATGATGGTGTTTATAAGCTCCAAATTCTTTGGCCTGATTTCTTTGACACTTTCATGAATTAAAAAAAAAAAAGAGATCTGATCCTGGTCTTACACTATGAGTTGGTGTAATAGGTATGAGGGACGTGAGGGTAGTGGGGAGAATTGAACAAACACGGTTATAAGTACAAGAAATTCGCATATAAATATGTATGAATTTGGCTTCTGAATGTAGTTGTGTACCAAACACCTGAAACACTTAAATGTTTAAGTAATATAAACAATGTTTTTTGATGTTTATACAACATAAGTAACAGTTCAGAAGCAGAACAAGATGCTTAGCTGTCTCTATTATGTTTTCCAGATTTCCTCTTTTTCTTCTGCCTGGGTAGCTTATAATAGTAATGTGGGGAAAAAATGAGACTGAACTCTGGCATCAGCATTTCAGTCAAATGATTCAGTATGTGAACTTCTGGCATGCCCTATTTTAAACAATATTAATATATTCAGAGCAATGGTACAGTTGCTAGTTCTGATATCTTTTTAAATACAATACTGTACAGGAAAAATGATCTTTCTGGAAAATGAAAAGGTCAGTTTTTGTATTTTGAATGGTGAATTGATTAAAACTTGTCAAAAAGGAAGAAAATGGTAAAATGGAAAAAAAAAATTAATGCATTGGATGTTAGGAACTGCTATAGCTACTTCTCAGGAACACAGATGCACCATCATCTAAATTGTTCTTACTGGTTACCCAATGCTCAACAATAAATGGGCATGAAAGCCATACGCCAGGGAATGTGTAAGACAGCTATGGAAACTCAAGGCAAATCTACTTTGAGAAAGTATCAAGTTTATAGGAAGGAATGATGTATTCTAGGATATTTATCTGCTTGGCATTCTGTGTACATTAGATGTAAGAGAGAAACGCTTTTTCAAGATTTTTGACCTGACTGTAATCTGTGCTATAAACTCCCTTTTCCATTTCTGATGGTTCTAATGTGCTTGTTTTGTCTAATACAGCCACTACCGACCATTTTATCTGCAGTTACCCAGTTTTCCAGTTCTGAACTACTGTGTTCCAAAACCGTATAGTCCATTTGAAGTGGATAAGAGGCATCCTTCTGGTCAAAAGCAAACTCAGTCTAAGCAAAGGTTTGTTGAAACTTTGTTATTGAGATGTGGATAGAGGAAAGGGCCGTTCTCTGAAATACTTCTAAAGTAATTGTTTTGTAAAATAATTGCTCTGCTTCTATTTTTGTGTGATATTTAATACTAATAGCCATGTCTCAGCTGATGTATTTGCTGCACTGTAACTATTGGTGTCTGTCTGTCTTTCTGTACCCTCTTTATCCTGTCTTTAGTCCTTTTTTTGGACATACAGATGCATACATCCAAAAATGCAGCCTTCTCCTATCACTGTGGGTCAGCATAAGATATTTTTTTCCTTTCTGCCACTGGTTTCTTCTTTGTCCTCATCCTGGATGCCATCCAGTAAGTATTTTACAGGAAGTGGATTTCTTAAGACTTCTTTTTATATTTGTCAGTATAATGCTGAAGTAGGCAGTTAAAAATTTTTGAAACAGTGATATTCAGTCATAGTGGAAAATCATTGTTGGTAGAGAGTGCGCATTGTTGATAAAGTCTAATTTATAAAAATTAGACTCTGTAAATAGTGCTTCAACTCTTCAGAGTTGAAAAGTGGATGCCAACTGCTCAGTAGAATTGCAGTTGGTCTTACAGCGGGTGTTTGTATGATACATTTTGACATTCAGGCTCTATTTGAGCACTCCAGATGCAGCTAGGACTTCTAGTAAATCAACTTTATGATTTGAAACTACTTAGGAGTCTTAATTATCGGTTTTGTTTGTTGGGCTTTTTTTTTTTTTGGTGAATGAAACTATTGTTTTGAATTTCTTCTACCTAGCATATCTGGAGTATTAATGATTCTTTCATTGACTTCTAAAATTGATTCACGTGAGAGACTAGAGATATTTGGGTGAAAGGTAGCTTTTCTATATGTGCAACTCTCTGTATCTAGTAACTTCTGCTGCTTTTCTGTCCTCGGGTTCTAAGACTTATTTAGGTTTGATACTTGTTTTCTTTCTAAAATAGCTTCTCCACTGTTCAGGTTCTATTCAGTCTTCACCATTACTATATTGTTGGAGGTTTTGAGTTGATGTTACCATGATTATTTATATTTTTATTTGCAATGAATGTAGCAGCATGAAAAAGCAAAGCAACTGTAATACAGCAGTAACCCTTGCAATAATAAGGCAGTCTATGATGGTGTCTTTTTAGAGGGAGTTAAGCCCATTTTTTTTAAAGCATTTAAATAAAAAGGAAAAAAGGGGGAAAAAAAAAGGAAATATTCTTTTCATTTATATGGATTAAGGAGTATGATATATTTGAAAACTTCAGGAGAATGGTTTGAATGAATATTCTTATATAGTCTTTCAGGTTTGACGCATGCCAAAGAGATACTTAGGTGGGAGATTATTTCATACTCAGCAGGTAAATGTGAGGAATGTCAGTTTCAGGAGAGAGAAAGGGGAGTGCTCACTTATTTTATCTTTATCTGGGAGAAAAGCTTGTTGAAGTTGTTGTCAGTTTGACTTGCTTCTGCATCAGGCAAGACCTGCAGACATTATTCAATCTTCAGATGATAAATACCTTTGGTTATATCCTGCTTTACTGGTTCTCTGTCATTTTTAGTTCTAAAGAGGGAAGGTGAAAAGGCTAGTGTAATAGCAAAAGTACACAGATGTGGAACCTATCCTGTGGAACCCAACAAATGCTGGGGCAAGTGTTGCCAATTTAGACTTGTTGATTGAAAGTGATTGTTGAAAGCAATGTACACTTACTATGCTGAGCGATACATTGCTATGCTTTGTAAGTCAGATTTTTCAGGACAGGTTTTTTGATGTAAAGTCCTGAGCTTACATCTATGCAGATACTTGGTAAAGTGTGTCAGAATGATTTTTGGCTAGACAGGGAGATGGCACTATTCCTCTGAAGTAAAAGGGAAGTAGAGATTGATGGTTTTGCTGTACCACTAGCATATCATCCTTAGGTAGTTTAATAGTGAATTGCAGCAAACAGTAGCTCTCCCCAGCTGAGGACTCTGAAGGTCATGGAGCAGCTATTGAAAACCTATTCGTGTTTTAATCTCCATGAAGAACTTGAGATTCATTTCCTCTTATTTCCACTTAGCCTGTACCTAGAGAAACAGGAGAAAATCACATTTAGTCAGCATATTCAAAAGCTACGTATAACCAACAAATATGACTGTTCTTTTACTTTTACCAAAGAACTGAGAGGTCATCTGTTAGACAAGTGTTTTTGCTGCGTGTTCCTTGGCATCAAAAATACAGCTGATGAGATGTCAGAAGACTTTTTTTCTTTTTTTCTAGTTTTGATTTTATCGAATCTCCTTTTCTTTTATCAGCTATACACAGAGATTTCAATATATCCCTTGATTTGTTGAGGAGTTTTTTTGTTTGGCAATTTTGCATTGTTTATTTTGAGTCAGTGATGGTAGTACATCTGTGCTAACCTGGATGTTTTATGCTTACGTATAGTTCCACAAGGTTTGCCTGTCTTGTTACAGTAAATATTTTTGTTAATTAATACATAATTTTTGACTTGTTTTTTCTAAATATTGGCTAACATAATGTAAATAGTTTGAGGGTAAATAAATCTTCTTTTTTTTTTTCCAATTAAGTGAATAAGAACGAACATACTGTGAAAGGCAAGTATAGAGCTCAGCTCCGTATTTGAGACTCATTAACATATCTCTTCTGTTAACAGAAACAAAATAAATAGTGACAAGGACTGTGGAACTTCTGTTCAGCTCCCTCAGAAGGACAAAAAGAAGAGAGGATATTGTGAATGTTGTGGGAAGAAATATGAAGATCTGCAAACTGTATGTGACATGTCAAGTTTATGCTTTGCTACAGTCATATCTCTAAGTGTGATATCAACAATGGTTTCTACTTGCTAGTTTAATGTAAGATTTTCTGAATCTATCTCCTAAAAAGCAGCAAGTGGGTATTTTTTTCCCTTATAGGTTTTAATTCTTCATTGCTGCCCCTATACATGGTAGCAGAAAGCACTAATAGATCATGTCTCAGACACTGGTAATAAATTAATGACATTTACTTACTGCTCCATATCATACTGTTAACTTGTATATTCATATCTGTAGTATTAGATTTGTTTCATTTTTTTTCTTTAATTCCAGCATCTTGAAAGTGAACAGCACCAAAATTTTGCACAAAGCATGCAGTATCAAGTTGTTGATGATATCATCTCAAAGTTTGTTTACGAGTTTGTCGAATACAAAGATGATGCAAAAAAAATAAAAAGGTAAGTTACATGTTCTAAGTTTTAAAGACCTTGTGGGTTAAGACATTGTATTGGGTTTGCGTGGCAAGGTTTT